AATACATTTTTAAAATTTTAGCATAGTAAGCATTTTAAGGTGAATTGAAGCTTAGTGATGAGTAATTGTGAATCCTTTTACTTTTATGTAACTAATAAAGGAAAATAGAATTGCTGTGAACAAAAGTGAAATTAGCACATGATTCTCTGTAAAGAAGGGAACACTTCACTTTAAAGCAATACAGTAAACACTGATATTGTTTCCTTTGTTCTTCTCAGAGATACTTGTTAAGAGAAAATACCAAAAAGATTCGGGCAGAGATTCAACTTGAAGGTGTTGCAGAACAAACGGAAAACCTGCAAAAGGAGGTAAATGCTTTACAGAAAGAACCAGCTCCCCACCAGCCTCCCAGGGCAGCCGAAATGGTTCTTGGGGAGCCCCCAGAGAATCTCCTCGCTGGAAGGTGGCGACGGAGGCCTATTGTCAAATTTATCATTTGTCACAGAGTTTTCAATATGTTTACACATATACAATCAGTGCATTGTATCGCCCTCTCTTGTGCTTGATTTAATTTCATATACTATTCTTCATGGCCCTAGGAACAGTAGACTGTATCTTAGATGTGTATACGTGTGTACACATATCACACAACTTATGTATATAGTACACAATACCTTCAAGGTGTATGTGAGTATACTGTAATATTTGGGCAACAACAAAGTATCTCTTAAGGACGCCTTTCTCAGAACATGTCCTTGTCATTAGTGACATGGAACTACATTTGGGTGCTAATGTGAACAGGACATTCCCAGTATGGACACAGGCAAATCTGTGGTTTGATAGTCAATGACACTGCTTATAAATATATACTCCTTTCTCATGATGAGTGTGTAGTAAATGATTTATTTGTTGTTTTATTATTTTTATGTGTATAAGTGTTTTGCCTGCATGTATGTAAGTGCACCCCGTGTGTGCAATGCCTGCAGAGGTCAGAAGAGGGTATCAGATCCCCTGAAACTGGAGTTACAGATGGTTAGCCTCCATGTGGGTGCTGGGAATCAAACCCAGGCCCTCTGCAAGAGTCAGTTCTCTTAACTGCTGAGCCATCTCTCCAGCCCTGTAAGTTATTTCATTAACAATTTAATCAATTTCTAGCCTGAAATATTAGCCTTGGTTTACATGATAATGTATAGTTTTATGTTTTAAATATATTCTGTTGCTTAAAAGAGGTAGTAAGTACAGTTCAGAAGCTTTCATGTTATTTAAAGTCATGCTAACCTGAGACCTTACTGTTCTGCCAGTTCACTAGAGTGTTAGCAAACAGTCAGCAGGTAAATAAAGCAATGGAGAGAATCGTCAATGAGAGCCAAACCCTGGCCACATTCATTGAGCAGCTGCAGACAAACATCAAAGGTAGTGTGGACACTCTCATTTGGGGACCTGGTGTTTACTTGGTAGAAAGAGTCGTCACAGTTACCCTGTGAAGTATGTGAACAGATGTGTGTGTCTTGGGCTGGGCTTCCTAGTGTGCTGAAGCACTGGACTATCCCAGAACCTGGAGATCCTGAAACGTCCAGGCCATGGGCTTTCATTGAGAGTTTTCTCACTACACAGTGCCCATTTCCGTTCTTATTTTCTGTATCGTATTATTCCTAACACTTGGGCCCTAATTCTCAGGTCCCATTATAGTAAAGTTGATATGTTATATCCATAATCATTTACCCAAGCGAGAAGCTGACAGGACTTAGGGCTTCTTTCTGGTGCCCAAGTACATCCACCCTTTCAGAGTAATTCAGTTACTCCAGAGTTGGGTCTTACCCATCTTTTAGCATGCTATTTTCAGTTTCATAGCTACAGCAAAAATATTCTTGCTAATCATTTAGGATGTGAAGACTTACAAAGTACAGAATATGATGCAAACCAGACTTTATGGGGAATAAGTAAGAAAACGATTAGTACAAGAAATGTTTAATGAAAAGATTACTATCAAGTGTTGAATGTTCATCATGCAAGGCATATTTACTGAGACCTTGCTATGTCTGTTCAGACACAGGCAATGTGGAGGTGAGCATGCTGAACACAGAGCCGGTTCTTAGGAGGGTTGTGCTGGGAAGACTGGCATTAAATAAATCAGGAATCCCAAGTTCAGGGGGGTTGTGTTAAGGGATATCCAGAGTGCACTGGGGATTCTGTGGTTCCTGGGGGTCCAGCCTAGCCTATAGGAACAGAACAGTCCTCACCGAAGAATGTTCTATGCTTTTTCACTTTTCTGCCATCTTCTTCGAAGAGACTTAACAAGTGACAAATCTTCTCCGTAGAAATCCTTGAAAAGGCGGCAACTTTGAACCAGACCATGGGTGAAGATACCCAGCTACCCACTTCTTCCCTTCAAAAGATGCACCAGAACATTTCATCTTTGCTGGAACTTATAAAGAAAAGAAATTTCACACAGTTACACCAAAATGCCATCCTTGAACTCAAGTAAGTTCCTGAGCATCATTCACAGTACCACCACTGAGAACTGGGTACCTGCTGCTGGGGCAAAGGAGAGAAAATGAGACAGGATGCTCACTGAAAATGACCATTGTGAGAGAGGAGAGAGACCCAGTTGACCAGTAAATGAGGAAATGGGTACCTGGCCCCTCTACAGAAAACATAATCGGTGTGATCAGTATTCAGCATAATCTTGGCGTACTATACAATAGGGTCTGTGCCTGAACAGTTGAGCTCCATTATACAAGCCCTGTGGTAAACCACCATGTAAGATCCCAAAGAATTGTTAAATATAGTCTTTGGAAACGTGAGATTCCCTTTCTGGCCTTTTTCTTTGTTTTTTCACACAGTTATTACCTGACATAACAACAGGTTGCCTTTTTGCTAGGTTCTAATGATTATCTTAAGAATTATTTTAACCAGTTAGATGATAATCACCAAAGCTCTATTGTTTCTAGTGACATATTTAAAGTATTTGTACCTTTTTGCTATTGTAAATTACCTTGGGAATGACAAATTATGCAAGCTATTTTCCATATTTCTGTGTTTACATTTTAAATATTTACATATTTATACGATGTATTTTTTTTTTCTCCCCAGCTTCCCCCCTTTCCTCCTTTGAAATAGGGTCCAGCTGGCCTAGAATTTAAAATGTTCCTGCCTCAGCCTCTGAGGTACTAGGATTACAAGTGTGTGCTTGAATGGACATTTCTAGATTATTTCCTCAGGTCTGTTATTATAATGTCCTGTAGACTTTCCAACAACACACTTCACGGGGTAAATCTCAGCTTTTGTCATAGAACACAGTTTTTGACCTTTTGCTTAGGTGGAACTTAAAAGGTGAGCTTGCAGGTGGATAAGACTTGGAGCAAGGTCTAATGATCTAATAACTAGAACATTAGTTAGATCTTGGAAAGGCCTAGAGAAAACTGTGAACTAAGTGCCATGGGGGTGACTAGAGGCAGTGAGGTCCAAGGGCAGGACAAGAGCTTAGAAAGGCCTAGAGAAAACTGTGAACTAAGTGCCATGGGGGTGACTAGAGGCAGTGAGGTCCAAGGGCAGGATAAGAAGGTGACAGAGTCTATGCCAGGGAGAGTGTTGGTACCACTTCTCACTGCTTCCTAGGTAGGGCAGAATCCCTGCCTATTTAGGAGCTTGTCAGGATTCAAATTCCCAGGCGAGCAGCCCTGGAGCTCCTCCAGAGTCTTTCTGTGGGGCCTCCCCTTCCTCCAGCCACCCTGGTCAGTTCCTTCATTCACTCAATAGAAAGGACTAAACCTTAGGTACAAACATGGTCCCAGAAGTTGGGGACACCAAGAGGAACAGTAGAGCCTGTTTGTCCAATGGGAACTTCTAGTCCCACTGTGAGAAGTTCATTTTCTGAATATGCATTAAGACAGAGCAGGGAAAGCAGGGCTAGTCTTCTCCCTTCCCTGCTCCCTGAATTCCTGCTGGCCAGGTCCTTGGGGACTGCGTGCTCTGCCACTGCTGCTCTTTTCTTTCTGTTTGGTGTTACCAACCTGATTCCAGAGTTCTCTCTTTCATCTGTAAGTGAAAGAGACTTTTTTATTTTTGTTTCTGTTTTTAAAAAAATTTTTGAGACAGGGTCTCCCTGTCGCCCCAACTGGCCTGGAATTTACTATGTAGACCAGACTGGTCTCAATATCACAGACATCCGCCTGTTTTGCCTGCATGTATGTATGTGTACTGCATCCACGCGGTGCCTACAGAGGCCAGAAGAGGGCATTGGATCCCTGAAACTGGAATTATGGAGGGTTGTTAGCTTTCATGTAGGTGCTGGGAACCAAACCTTGTTCCTCTGTAAGAACAGCCAGTGCTTTTAACTGCTGAGCCATCTCTCCAGCCCAAGACACTTTTATTTTTTTAAAAAAGAGTTCAAAATGTATTTGCTAGTCTCCAAAGTCCAGTTTCTATAGATAATTTCTGTATTACAGTATTTCAGAATATGTGAATTATTTAGGAATCAATCAAATTATTAATTATAATTATTAGAAAATTTGTGATTTGTCCTTGGGTCTGGATAAACAGCTTTGGCACACATAACAACCATTTTTCATGCCTATGTCAGACCACAATCACCTTTATGACTCACTAGGATGCTCAGGATTCAGTATATACTTGAGTTTATGGCCAAGATTATTTGAGGATGCACAGCCAGACCAAGAAAAGGGATGCGAGGAGTCTGAAGGAATCCGTAGAAAGAAGTGCAGGAGGGTCACCTAGCACCTGTTTCCCAGGAGTGAAAATATAGCATGAGGATGGAAATTTCTGCCTGAGGGAGTCATTAGAGGTTCAACATCCATGGGTTTTACTGGGAGCTGGTCATATCTAGCACACATCCAAATGCCAGATCCCCAGAAGGAAAGCAGGTGCTCGGTGTAAACAACGTTGCTTGCACAGTTGAACCATTATCTTATCATTTAGGGGATACTTACAGCCTTGCCCACTGGCCTCTCTGTGAGCAGCTGATCCCAGGTTGTCCTGTGACCTCTTCTGCACACCACAGATTGTGTTTGTAGCTGTGATTCCTGTTTTCTACTCTGGTGTCCCCAGGGCTATTAAAAGATAATTTCATTATGGAAAAGTGTTCTGTTAGCAGAGAAATTTTGGAAATACAGCAGCTACTAAACAGAGATTGGTTCTTTACTGCAAGTCTTCCTACACTGACTGAATGGAGTTTCCAGGGATGGAAAGAGCTGAGGAACAGGTCCAGGCTCCTTTACTAGTGGAATCTGCTTAATGATTCACAGGACACTAGGGTTGTGTTCTAGCTTCCTTCTCTGTTGTGTGATAAACACCATGACCAAAAGTAACTTTGTGAGGAAAGACTTTATCTCAACTTACAACTCCCAGGCCACAGTCTAGCACTGAGGGAAGTCAGGGCAGGAACTCGAGGCTGGAACCTGGAGGCAGAAAGTGGAGCAGAGACCACAGAGGAATGCCTCTTACTGGCCTGCTTATCCTGACTGGCTCTGTTACCCCCTTTATACAACCCCGGCCCACATGCCCAGGGATGGCACCACCCACAGTGGGCTGTACCCTCTTGCATCAATTACCAGTTAATAAAATGACTTACAAACATGGCCACAGGCTAATCTGATGGAGGAAATTCCTCAGCTGTGGTTCCCTCTTTCCAGGCATCCCTAGTGTGTCAACTTGATAAAAGTTAACCAGTACAGGTTGTGAAGAGCTACAATTTGGGGTGGGGGTGGGGGAATGACATATTCTATTCAACTTTGCAAAGAAGTAGTTATTGAAGAGTAATGCAGCTTTTTTATTGCTATGAATCATCCACATCACTGAACATTTATAAAGAAAAGGAAAAAAAAAAAACTTTTTCCTAAAGCTTATATTTATTAATGGTACAAATCATATGTTTTAAGCAACTTGAAAGTTTTTACAAAATTAATTTCCTAACTGGACAAACCCCCCCTTTTCTATCATATGAATACATTGGTCCCTTGTTTCAATTTCTTGTCTTTTTACAGTGAAAGATTACAGTTCCCATCATTAACATATAGTGTAGTTCCAAATTCTGAGTCCAGCCTCTTTGAGATGATTTATTTTAATTCAATGACTAAAACATGTTAGGAAATTTCTGTTTTAAGCAGTCAGGATCCACACCAAGCTCAATGGTACACACCCATAAGTTCAGCAACAAAGAAGGCTAATGCAGAAGAATTGTGTGTTCAAGGGCAGCCTCACAACATGGCAAAGGCATGCCTCAAAAATTTAGGAGGGAAGTTATTGTATACCATTTATGTTTGAAGAAGACACTGGGTACGGATATATAAAAATCCCTTCCAGTATCATTTCAGAGACACAAGCTCTATTTCCATTTCCTCACTATATGAACTGTTTTTATTTATCAGGGCTGCTAAAGATTTGTTGTCACAAATCCAGAAAAAGTTCCAGAAACCTCGGGAAAAGTTGGAGGTATTTAAGGAAGTGGCCAGCAGCCTCCTTTCTAACCGCAGCGCTGAACTGCAGGCAGCAGAGGCGCTCCTGAGGGAAGTGGAGACTAAGACTCAGGAGAGCAACCGCCTGTTGCCCATTGTCAAGGCCAACCTGAGAGAATTCAACGTGAGTGTCTGTCTCCGTAGCTTGCTCCTTCTCAATTAGAAGGGTACCCACATAGGCCTGCGTAAACAGCGTCATCTTTAGCATCTGACACAGCAAGCCTGACTATAGGCTGGAGCACGTGACATTCTATGCCAAAGATGGGTGCTGGCTGGCTTTTATGATGAATCCTTAAATGGTGATTTTTACTGCAGGATAAAAGCCTACACATTCGAGAAGAACAAAACTTGACCTCAAAGCTAATTGCCAAAGGACGAGGATTGGTAGATGCTGCCAGTGCTCAGGCAGATGGGGCACGAGACACTCTAACAGTAAGTTAAAGTGTGGACAATCGTATCTCAGTTTCTATTAGATAAATATGCTTATATTTCAAAACTTTAATATCTCCATGTAGCATCTGGAACATCACCGGGATGAGCTACTTCTGTGGACTACTAAAATCAGGCGTCACGTAGACAACCTGGTCATGCAGATGTCCAAGCGGAGAGCCCGTGACCTTGTCCACAGAGCTGAGGATCATGCTGCTGAGCTGCAGAGACTTGCAAGTGTCCTGAACAGGTAAGGCAGTCTGCTTTCCAGAATTCAAGAGATGTTTGATGAACTACTGATCAGGGTGAGGATGGCTATTTTGATTGCCATGCTGAATCATTTTTATTCCGTGTGTGTGTGTGTGTGTGTGTGTGTGTGTGTGTGTATGCCTATTTTGTAGTACTGGGAATTGAAGCAACCAAGGGCCTCTTGCATGCTAAGCAAACACTTTAATACTGAGAATATCCACAGTCCTTAACTTTTTAATCTTGAAACAAGGTCTCACTAAGTTGCTTTGGCCCACTTACCAGGTAGCCCAGACTAGCTTTGAATTTGTGATCCTCCTGACTCAGCTTCCCAGTCTAGGCTACCAGGCCTAGCTAATCTTAGGAGTGTTAACTGGTGAATTTATTTTTATTTTTATTTCTGTTACAAGGTTGGGTGAAAAAAAAAAGAGCCCAAGCACAGTGGGAACGTGTGTTTTTGTGAGGAGGAGAGCATTTTGTAAAAAGGAAAAGAATCTCCCCATTAAGAAACACAACCAGGAATGATTAGGTCACACCACAAAGGCAATTAGAAATGTCTTGCTAGACCGTTTCATAAGTTATGTGCTGAACCGACTGCTGCTGCCTACATGTATGATTGCAGTCATAACAGAACATGGAGTCAGATTTGCACCTTCTCAGCTACATGTATGATTGCAGTCATAACAGAACATGGAGTCAGATTTGCACCTTCTCAGCTACATGTATGATTGCAGTCATAACAGGACATGGAGTCAGATTTGCACCTTCTCAGCTACATGTATGATTGCAGTCATAACAGAACATGGAGTCAGATTTGCACCTTCTCAGCTACATGTATGATTGCAGTCATAACAGGACATGGAGTCAGATTTGCACCTTCTCAGCTACATGTATGATTGCAGTCATAACAGAACATGGAGTCAGATTTGCACCTTCTCAGCTACATGTATGATTGCAGTCATAACAGGACATGGAGTCAGATTTGCACCTTCTCAGCTACATGTATGATTGCAGTCATAACAGGACATGGAGTCAGATTTGCACCTTCTCAGCTACATGTATGATTGCAGTCATAACAGGACATGGAGTCAGATTTGCACCTTCTCAGCTACATGTATGATTGCAGTCATAACAGGACATGGAGTCAGATTTGCACCTTCTCAGCTACATGTATGATTGCAGTCATAACAGGACATGGAGTCAGATTTGCACCTTCTCAGCTACATGTATGATTGCAGTCATAACAGGACATGGAGTCAGATTTGCACCTTCTCAGCTACATGTATGATTGCAGTCATAACAGGACATGGAGTCAGATTTGCACCTTCTCAGCTACATGTATGATTGCAGTCATAACAGGACATGGAGTCAGATTTGCACCTTCTCAGCTACATGTATGATTGCAGTCATAACAGGACATGGAGTCAGATTTGCACCTTCTCAGCTACATGTATGATTGCAGTCATAACAGGACATGGAGTCAGATTTGCACCTTCTCAGCTACATGTATGATTGCAGTCATAACAGGACATGGAGTCAGATTTGCACCTTCTCAGCTACATGTATGATTGCAGTCATAACAGGACATGGAGTCAGATTTGCACCTTCTCAGCTACATGTATGATTGCAGTCATAACAGGACATGGAGTCAGATTTGCACCTTCTCAGCTACATGTATGATTGCAGTCATAACAGGACATGGAGTCAGATTTGCACCTTCTCAGCTACATGTATGATTGCAGTCATAACAGGACATGGAGTCAGATTTGCACCTTCTCAGCTACATGTATGATTGCAGTCATAACAGGACATGGAGTCAGATTTGCACCTTCTCAGCTACATGTATGATTGCAGTCATAACAGGACATGGAGTCAGATTTGCACCTTCTCAGCTACATGTATGATTGCAGTCATAACAGGACATGGAGTCAGATTTGCACCTTCTCAGCTACATGTATGATTGCAGTCATAACAGGACATGGAGTCAGATTTGCACCTTCTCAGCTACATGTATGATTGCAGTCATAACAGGACATGGAGTCAGATTTGCACCTTCTCAGCTACATGTATGATTGCAGTCATAACAGGACATGGAGTCAGATTTGCACCTTCTCAGCTACATGTATGATTGCAGTCATAACAGGACATGGAGTCAGATTTGCACCTTCTCAGCTACATGTATGATTGCAGTCATAACAGGACATGGAGTCAGATTTGCACCTTCTCAGCTACATGTATGATTGCAGTCATAACAGGACATGGAGTCAGATTTGCACCTTCTCAGCTACATGTATGATTGCAGTCATAACAGGACATGGAGTCAGATTTGCACCTTCTCAGCTACATGTATGATTGCAGTCATAACAGGACATGGAGTCAGATTTGCACCTTCTCAGCTACATGTATGATTGCAGTCATAACAGGACATGGAGTCAGATTTGCACCTTCTGATTTTCACCTTCTCAGCTACATGTATGATTGCAGTCATAACAGAACATGGAGTCAGATTTGCACCTTCTCAGCTACATGTATGATTGCAGTCATAACAGGACATGGAGTCAGATTTGCACCTTCTCAGCTACATGTATGATTGCAGTCATAACAGAACATGGAGTCAGATTTGCACCTTCTCAGCTCTTCTTCCATCATTCCTAAAAGAGAAGCTATTTGAACTCCATCCGTATATATTTTAAATTTATTACTTAGTATAAGAGTAGTAAAAACAATTTGAGTATGATAGAGTTAAATAACATTTTTATTTATAAATCATTAAATTGTGCCAATCAAATAGTAACAGACAGTAACTGCTGATATCTCTGGTGGGAATTTCCCAACTCAGTAACATTGGAGAGAAAATGAAGTAAGTTTCCCAGCAGGCAAAGTTGTACCTACCAGTCCTCACAATTTCTTATCTAGACAGAGCTGATGAAATGTCACTGTTGCCAGTTGACAAATTCCTAAGTGATGTGCCCGCTTGTTAGAATGAAGTTGAGCCAGTCGATTTATTATCTGATCCTCCTGCAGAATCTCTAGTGAATTTCATCAAATTGGAGTGTGCCACCTGAGGGGTGACACCCAGCATCCCTGCAGGACTTGGGGTGTGTGTAATTAACAAGCGGGTTGCAGGAAAGATTATAAATAATGCAGGGACGCCCCAACACAGGAAGGGGGCCTAAACAGAGATCAAGGGTGGTAGAGGACAGATGGTGGAAATTGATGGGATGGTTCTCTCAGGGAACTAGCCATCGCCTGTTCTTCTGATGTTAATTAAAAGCAGTTCTGAGTGTTGCCACACCAGAGAGCTGCTGCTTCTCAGAAATCATGTCTGTGTGTAGAGGGGAACATTCTGGTTGTTAGTCCTTGTCCCTTTTTTAGGGAGACAGAAACTAAGAGGCTTTCAGGAATAGGGGGCATTTAGAATTTTCAAAATGACCCCACCAAATTTGATATTTTTTTTTTTTACTAGTATCTCTAAATGTGCTGGTTTGATAGCAGCCTTGAAAATGTCAGAAATGTGTCTCTAAATGCAACCAGTGTGACCCACGTCCACGCCAACGTTCAGAGCCTGATTGAAGAGGCAGAGAAACTGGCCACCGATGCTCAGAGCACCATAAATAGGACGAGCTTGGTAAGCAGTGCCCAGGGCTTCCATGTCCACTCCTCTTCTGCACACCGTGCTTCTTCTGGAAGGTGCTTGAGCTTGCACTCAGTGGCTCACATATATGTTCATCTGTATTCTTTTCTGGTAGCATCTGTGGCCTTTTTTCATCACATTATATACCCTTTACTTTTAAATGTTTTTTGTGTTTTTTTTGTTTTTTGGGGTTTTTTTTTTTTTGGCCTTTTTTGAGACAGGGTCTCCCTGTAGCCCCAGCTGTCCTGGAACTCACTATGTAGACCAGGCTGGCCTTGAACTCAGAGAGATCTGCCTGCCTCTACCTCCAGAGTGCTGGGACTAAAGGCATGTGCCACCACGCCCAGCCTACTTTTAAATGTTTTTAAGGGAACAGGGTCTCACTACGATGCATAGGTTGACTTGATTTCCTGGGTCCAAATGATCCTTCTGCTTTAGCCTCTTGAGTAGCCAGAGCTATAGACACATACCATTGTCTTTAGCTCAGTCTAATCTTTTAGTCATAAATGCTTCTTCATGAAGATTAATGACATAAGGAAGACCCTTACAATTTCTTTTGAGGAAAAAATGGCGATGCTGGGGCTGGAGAGATGGCTCGGCAGCTAAAAAAGCACTGGCTGCTCTTGCAGAGAACCAGGGTTGGGTTCTCAGCAACCACATGGTGGCTCATCCTAGTCTGTAACTGCAGTTCCAGGGGATCCGATTCCCTCTCTGAACTCCACAGGCATTGCGTGCACGTGGTATACTTACATACACACAGGCAAAACATTCATATACATAAAATAAAAATATTTGTTTTTAATGACAATGCTCCAGGCGTGGTAGCGCAGGTCTTTAGTCCAAGCACTTGGAAGGCAGAGGCAGGCAGATCTCTGTGAGATCAAGGCCAGCCTGGTGTACATAATGAGTTCCAGGCCAGTTGGGGCTACAACAATAACAAACAAACAAACAAAATGACAATGCTATCTGATACCTACTTAAGACATCGCTCTTTACTCAGGGTGAGAAGCCTTGTAAGAGCTGGCTTCCTTCTTTCTATACTAAAAAGTGTCTTGGTGTTCTCGCTTCTCAGACATAATGAGTTGCCCCTCCAGCTCTGTGGTTCACTGGTTATTTGGCAGCTGGGTGGCGGCTCTTCTGGTCAATCTGCTTTCTTCCTGTAGTCGCCCTGTGTAAGATGTTCTGTTTTTCAGATCTCGGAATCCCTAGTTTCTCAAGGGAAAGCAGTTCTGCAGCGCAGTTCCAGATTTCTAAAGGAAAACAGCGGCATCAGGAGGAAACAGCAAGGTCAGTTAGCAGCCGGATGAGCAGAGTAAGAGGAAGCACATCTCTGAACATCCTTAAAGAACTTTTTTCCTGGAGCAGTTTGAGCTTCCCTTGTTTTTTTCTCTCCTTAATATTGTAATTTCCTGTCATCTGAACATTACATGATTTTGAATCTAATTCTACTGCAATTACTTGCTTGAAGGTGCATGCATCTTTATCATTAAGCCTTCCTAGTTATTAGACTGTACACTCATTGCTTGAGTCCAGGCTCTCTCTAGTTCTTCTGGGGTGTGTGGGGTTTCTTTTGAAGACAGCGTTCCTTGGTTTCTGTATTTCCCAGATCCTAAAAGAAATAGGTTATGTCTGATACTTTTTGTCCCTTTCATTTGATGAGTATCGTGTTAGACTTGTGCTAGGCTATCATTGAAAAATAACTAGATTAAATCATAAATTATGGACCATCTTTTCAATAAATACCTGTACTGTGTAAGAGTTCCTGAAGCAAGTGCTTGGCACATGTAAGAGCTATCCAGTAAGTGTAACACAAAATGGAAAGAATCTGTTTTGTAAGAGAAAGTTTGCAGGCATGAAATGTTTTATAATGTACAGCATGCTTCTCACGTTGACCAGACTATTTCCAGGGGTAATGCTGGACGCTCCTATTGCTGTCTGAACCCGGGCTTGACTCTGCATTTTTGCTTCTCTGTGAATGACACAGCTCAGAAATTCCATTGTCATGTTAGAGCGTCCCAGTGCGTATCACCAACTTCCCAATGCGTATCACCAACTCAATCATAATACTGGTGGGCTTTGCCTTCAGTTTGCACAAAAAAGGAACATGTAGACCGTGAAGATGTGAAATTCTTGGCAACTAAAATGTCATGTTTTAACCACATGTTCAAAATCCTAAATGTGGTTTTGTATTCTGGACAAAAACTAGTTTGAATAGCAGGAATAGAAGTTAAAAAGGCATTGAGATGAGTCTAAGTTTGGTGGTTTAATGGCAGGTTGGGGACTATGAAGAAGGTTCTGAGAGAGGGGCCCACATTCAGGGTTTGCTAGCCTAGGGGAGAAAGGTGGTCAAGTTCCAGGTATGAGTAGAAAAGTCTAGAGCGCAGGTTAAAAATGTCTTCAACTTTGAGCTTTAATAAAATCAGGCATGAAATTCAAGAAGTTGTATAGTGGAAAAGACAGTAGCAATGTAGAAAAAAATATATAAAGCAAGCCAAAACCCATCCTAATGTCCATAATAATAAATAGTGGTAAGTCTTGCTGGAGGAACTTTCAGCATTGTGTCTGTAGAAAACTGTTGATTCTGTGGATGGTTGGGAATTGACAACGCTGTTGCCTAGGCAACATTTTAGCAGGCTAACCTAAAATGGAACCTTTTTTCCCTTTACATAGGTATTACATTGAAGCTGAATGAGTTGAATAATTTGACAAGGAGATTTCAAGAGAATGTGGATAACATTACTCAGCAGACCAATGACTCCCTCTTGATAATTAGAACAATTCCTGAAGGTCAGTAGAAAAGAGTTTCTCGGTCTGATTAGTGAGTTCTTATTATAAAAGCATTACACAGGAGCATGAGGAAGTCCTGCCTGTGTCTCAGTAGGAGCTCTGGCTCAAAACAAGCCAAGATTGCTTGTTTCAACTTGCAAAGGAATGTGAATTAGAAGTGAAGGTCTCAGAACTTTTTACAGTAACAGCATGAAAATGCTACAATTTCACTCAAGAGACTTAGACTGTAATCTTAATTGGTTGCTTTCAGAGGGCTTGACATCACTTAGAGAAGGACCGTTCAAAGAGATCAAGGAGTCAGAAAGTGGAATGTGCTTTACCTGCCTTTGGAGAGAATGCCAGTTTCATTATAAACATGGCAATTTTTCTGCTTGGTGTTCTTCCTCCCTAAGGCAGTAAAGCATTGTAAAATAGGCCTGTTGATCACTTAATATTGATGGCTTGTAAAATGTTCATTAACATTTTAAATAAGTTCTTGAGTCATAACAAGTGAATTGTGCTGAAGTGCCCTCTGTATATTATCTCAGACTTCCTGTTCTAAGTCTCACTTTATACTTGAGGTGCTCCAGAGTCCTGTCTGCTCAGCTCCCTTGTAAGCAAGAAACTTACCAAGGGAAGCAGGGTTCTGGGTGGACACATTGGGCTTCCTTTTTATCAGTCAGTAGGATATTTTCTCATCTAGAAATTTACTTTTCCTTTTCTGTTTTTTTCCCCAGTGAAATATATTGTCCTTAATATATTTTGATGAAATACTTAACTTTTTATTGGGAACAAATTCATATTTACAGAAAAGTTGAAAGAGCAGTGAAGAGTACCTATATAGTTTTTCATTATTTTTATCCAGGGTGTCATCACACACCTTGACTGGCCTCAAACCCATGATCATACTGTCTGTGCTACCCAGTGCTAGAATGACAGGCATGTACCACCATGCCAGGCTTGATTCCAATATGTTTGTGCAGCTTCTTCTAGAATTAATGCTTTGATCTGTGCAATTACACATTTTAAAATGGATTGCAATGTTTTCATTGCCATGGAAACATCCTCACTCAGATATCTTGAATAATAAATTCCTCTTTGTCTTCCTGGCTGTGTGCTCACTGTGTTCCCATCATTTCTACATACAAGTAAATACCGCTTTGTCCAGTCTAGGCCAGTTCCCTCTTAACCACCAACTTAAGTTCTAGAACCTTCTTATCCAGATATGAAATGATGTAGATGAGGAATGTGGTTTTTTAATATTTTATTTATTATTTTTATTTTATGTGTATCATTGCATTGCCTGCATATATGTAAGTGCACCCTGTTGAGGCCAGAAGAGGGTATTGGAGTTACAGATGGTTGTTAGCCACCATGTGGGTGCTGGGAATCAAACCTGGGTCCTCTGTAAGAGCAACCAGTGTTCTTAACAGCTGAAACATTTCTCCAGCCCCGGGAATCTGTTTTGTGAAGATGAGAAGGGCATGCAGAAAAGGGTCAAGTAAAGAAGTTCAGGGCCAGTGAGATGCTCTGTGGGAAGGGCATCTGCTGCAAAGCCTGATGACTTGAGTTCTGTGAAACCCACATGGTTGAAGGAAAGAACCAAAGCCTGAAAGTTGTCCTTTGACCTCTACATATGTACCATAGTGCCTATGTGTGCAAATATTTATACAAAATAAATAAATGTCAAAAAGTAGTTTACTTCATCTGAAAACATGCTGAATTCATAGCCACTAGCCATTAGTTTGGTGACCACAATATATATTGAAATCATACAGAATTAACCTTCCAAATCATCCCATTTGACTTTATTAAGGTGATAGAACATATGGTACACAGCCTCTGTATTTTCTGTGAAGAGCAAGCAAAATAGCTGCTTTAACATGTATCTGTGTAAAATTACAGTGTCTTCAGTAGGGCTTGCCCATGCCTTTATTTCAGATGTGAGAGAGAAGGGAAGGAAAGCCAAAGAGCGGGCCTCATCAGCCAATGAGAGTGCGATACGGACACTGAAGAACGTCCTGCGGATGAGCCAGAGGGTCCTGGACACATCAGCAGGCCTGTCCAGAGTGAATGCCACATTACAAGAGACAAACGAACTTCTGCATAACTCCACAATGACAAGTACATCAGTGGTCTTTCTTCCAGTACTAAAAGTCTGCACCCTGCAGATTGGGAGACAGCAGGGTGCACAGGGTACAAAATGAAAATGCATCTGGATTTGTTTGTGGAGAGAGGGGCCCAGGGAACACAAGTTGCCAGAGAGTTTTATATGTTCTCAAATGCTGAAGGGTTTGATTATTAGGTGATTCTGTTTTATTTGGTGTCTTAATAATGACCCATTTCTTTCTCCTCTTTTCCTCCTCCTGGTTCTCCTGGTACCGTTTGCCTTCCTGTCTTCTTCAGCTCTGTTGGCTGGAAGAAAAGTTAAAGACATGGAAACACAAGCCAACCTTTTATTTGATCGACTGAAACCTTTGAAGACATTAGAAGAAAACCTAAGCAGAAACTTGTCAGAAATTAAGCTGCTGATTAGCCGGGCCCGGAAACAAGCAGCTTCGGTGAGATGGGCTTGGGATTCGGTTAATACCCCATCCCAAAGCTGGGGTGCTTGCTCATGTCATGACCTGACGCATTTGGTGGGCCTGGTGCTCACACCAGCTCCACTACAACTTATATAGGCCCAGATCTCAATAATCTCATCTCCTCCTAGACTTACCTCAGTCCATTTAAAACCAGTAATTAGCAGTTTTTCTTTAAATTCTGCTTATAGTGAATATGTTTCAGAAGATTCCAAAGGGTGTAGGGGTGGGGTTGGAGAGATGCCTCAGCAATTAAGAGCACTGACTGCTCTTGCAGAGGACCGGGGTTCAGTTCCCAGCACCCACATGGTGGCTGACAGCCATCTTTAACTCCAATTCCAGGGGATCTGATGCCCTCTTCTGACTTCCATGAGCACTGCATGACATAGGTGTATTTACATACATGGAGGCAATACACTAATACACATAAAATAGAATAAGAATAATACAGTTTTTTAAAAATTCCAAGGGAAGGACTCTCCTTACTTTGCAGGGATTTAAATTTGATTTCTGACTTCATAACTTAGCTTTCATGGAACGAAGTCTAAGTGGTGGCATCACTGTGAGTTTCGCTGTTACATGCTGTGCTGTTTCTTCATTTTAATAATGCAAGTACTCTCTAAAATGTTTGTGTAGTTTGCGTAGGACTCTGAGAAAACAATTTGTATACAGTACATACAGAAGCTGTTCAAGTCCACTCCACTGAATGCATGACGCACTGGCACCCGGAGAAGTTCAAACTGGGGAAACTGTGGTAGCCATCTGCGGTCCTCATCACTGGCTGCTCTCTGAAGAGCAGTCTTGCAGGCCGATGACGAGACTGGAGGGACTGTGTCGTTGCCATGCTGCTAGACCTAGAGAGGAAGAATGTGACCTCTGGTCTTATCTTAGTCTTTCTGAAGCTTTCTAGGGAAGATGAAGGAGCTCTGGGCTCTCCAAGGGTCTTCACTTCTAGAAAAGGATGTGGGCTTATATGAGTTCTGGCTTCCATCGGTTTTTTTAGCAATCTCCAAATAAATGTAAGCTCAAGGCCTAGTTCATGGTCAATACAAATTTAGAATAGTTGAGATTAATATGGGATATATACAGAAATAATTACCAACCAAGGAAATAAGATAGTAAGTAAATATTTGCTCTATAAAATTTACTGATTGAACATAGGACTCCTGCATTTATTTAACAAATGTCTGTGGGCCAGGTAGTAAGAGTCCAATCTGATAAAGTCCTTGTCTTTAAGGAATTAAATTTTATGTGAGTGAGACAGTTTCTTATATAAACTATCCCATTAAAACTAATTTAAGGGGCTGGAGCGATTGCTCAGTGATTAAGAACATTTATTGCTCTTTCAAAGGACTGGAGTTAGGATCCCAGCACCTACATTGGGTGGCTCTCAACCACCTGTTACTCTAGTTTCAGGGGATCCAACAGTCTCTTCTGGCATCTAGAGGCACTTACATTCACACGCACATACCCACACAGACAGACACACATGTACACATAATTAAAAAGTAAATCTTTAAAAACACTAAGTTCTGCATGGTGACACACCTATAGCCCCAGTTCTCTGGAGGCTGGGGCAGGAGGGTCATGAGTTTGAATTCAGCCTGGTCTACATGGTGAGACCTTGTCTCTAAACAAACAAATGAAACCAAACAAAACCTAATTTAAAAGACTTTCTCATATTTCAGCAGTTCGCCAAGTAAAATAATTTTCATCTTGGTCTGATTTCTCACTTCATGAAGCCCAAAGCTTGTGAATTATGAAGTGAGGAAGCTGGGTTCACACTGAAAAGTGGAATCCCATCCCTGATGTGTTAGAGAGCTGACACCGTGTGTCACCAAGTGATGGGACGCTTTTGTTTTCCCCACAGATTAAGGTTGCCGTGGCTGCAAACAGAGACTGCATCCGTGCCTACCAGCCGCAGATTTCATCCACCAACTACAACACGTTAACTCTGAATGTTAAGACACAAGAGCCTGACAACCTTCTCTTCTACCTTGGCAGCAGCACTAGCGTAAGTCAGGGACCATGAATGTTCATGAGCACAGCGATTTCCTCTGTGGACACTTTGTTCATGAGAAAAGAAATAAGGTCTTCCTGGAAAGGATAACCTACCAGAAAGAACCTTTGCTACAGTGGTAATGTCAAATTAAAAATAGCCAGCACAAGTGAATGCCCAGGGGCTGGGCAGATAGGTCAGTGGGTAAATTGCTTCCCTTGTAGGCATGGAAACCTGAGTCCCCAGGACCCATGTAAACCAAAGCTGGGCATGGCATCATGCATTTGCAATTCAGAGCTGGGGAGGTGAAGATAAGTAGATCTTTTGGGGCTTCTTGACCAGCCAATCAGGCCTAATTTGCTTCCCAGCCAGTGAGAGACCCTGTCTCAAGAAAAAAAAAACGTGAACATCAGTTAGGAATGATACTGGAGGTAGTCCTCTAGTTCCACATGCACATGCCTACATGTGTACCTATATATATATATACACACACACACACACACACACACACACACACACACACACATTGAAGACCTGTGGGAAGGAAAGTGACATTCTTGATCAGTGTCTTCCTCTGCCATCTCATTTGTATACCTTGGGAACAGAACTCCATGTAATGCCTTTGTGAACCCCAAGGTGATTATCAGGGTTGCCAGGTATCGCCTAGACTCTTCTTTCCAAGGAGATTCCTTTAGTTCCCAGAGGTTAAGTTTCCTACAAAAGACCACTGATCCTTCAGCTCCACTAGTGGGGAGAGGGTTCAAGCCCTTGGGAATGTTGGAAGAAGAATGTTAATAAGAGGCAAATACAGAGCTGTGACAAGGGGTTTCATGGCTCTTGTCTTACTCATATTTCACAGCCTTTAGTGCCTTCTGAGACCCAGAAACAAGCCAGTGCCTTGCTTTATCCTTCCTTGTGACTTGCTGACGGCACCTTTGAATGTTCCTGGGAATCCATGGGTGGTATTATAGAGGGCCTGCTCAGCAGAAGCACAAATGTCCAATTAGCCAGTGTCCCCAGGACTCTGACTCATGCTCCAGCCCCAGGGATGTAGGTATTTATAGACAAGAGAGTATAGCCATTCAAGTTTTGCATTATTTTTAGATACAGAGAAAATGCTGAAAGAACTTTAAACTATTTTAGGATCATGTAAATAGCAGAATATAAACTCATTTCCACTCATTTACTGCCCCCCTGCCCAGTCTGATTTCCTTGCAGTGGAGATGCGACGCGGGAAAGTGGCCTTTCTCTGGGACCTGGGCTCAGGGTCCACACGTTTGGAATTCCCAGATGTCTCCATTGATGACAACAGATGGCACAGCATCCACATAACCAGGTAGCAGAGAATGTCCTTGGAGCATCTTCTTTGGACTGTGCCTTATAACATGCTTGGAACATCATATAATTAACAGGCCTTCTGAGTCTTCTAGAAAGATGAATTTTAAGCAAAGAATACTGGATTTATATTAATAATAAGAATGAGGGGGCTTTTATTACAGAATAATCTTTGTTACCAAAATCAAGGATAGAAAGAAGAAAAACATTAATAGTTCAGATTATTTTTATAATATTTTTAGCAAGTCCAAGTCCAGGATGACCAACCAGGCAAATGTTTCTTTCCAAAGAAGAGAGTTTGTCAAAGGCTTCCTGTAGGAATCCAGGTAGAGGAAGACAGAAGAAGATACAAGCAGGCAGGGAATGTATTTCCTTAAAGTTCAGACATAAAGCCAAATTCTTCTTTCAAAGCCTCTTCCCCAGAAGCACCTTCATTTGAACAATTTAGGTATATTTTTCTTTTCAATTTCTGCAGTATTATGGTTTGTAGTTGATGGTATTGTTGGTAATATTTTTCAATATTATCTATAAAAATATTATAATGAGCTGGCATGGTGGCATATGTCTTTAATCCCGGAACTCACTCAGGAGGCAGATCTCTGTGCGATTGAGGCCAGCCTGGTCTACATATCAAGTTCCAGGCCAGTTGTAGCTACAGGAACTAGTCAGTATGATTTGGGAAAGCATAAGGTAGAGGTAGAATGGGCAAGACTGGAAACAGACACAGACAGAGGCTGCAAAGGGGCACAAGAAACAGGTGGTACTCTGTAGGGAAGAGAAAGGTGTCATGGGATGACATGTAACACAGAAATAGAAAGCTCCACTTGCAATCCTTTCTTACCCAAGGTTTGGAAACATGGGATCACTGAGCATACAGGAAATCAGTTCAGCTGAGAAGCTGCCAGCAGGAACAAGCAAATCCCCTGGGACAGCGAATGTTCTCGATATAAACAATTCAACTTTAATATTTGTTGGAGGACTCGGAGGTCAAATCAAGGTAACTTTCTGAAAGTTCATCTAAACAGCAACCATAGACTGACTTCACTTGTATATGAAATGATCAAATCAAATTGTAAATTACACCCTCACCTCTGCTTTTGCTGGTGTTCACTGTGGCAGTAGGATGGTGAAGGGGCTGGTTATGCAGGGCAAAGGACTGTGATTATTTATTACAATAAATGCAGGAGAAACCAACAGTGTACTTCACCAAATGGATTTTTACCAGTGACAGAATAGGAAATTAAAGCATTCTATATTGATTTCTGTAGAGTACCTTTATCTCTATTCTAACCCTAGTGGTAAGCATGCTAATTAATATTTAGTGAAAGAGTGCATCACATTGAATCAATGATTCAATTGTTTTATTGAATCAATGATTCTCTCACCAAATGACGTGGAACTGAGCTGGAGTCAGCGTTCTGAGGTGAGAGGAAGATCAGCATCCCAGCTAGGCCTCCATGACCAACCACATTTCTAATTCGATGACTCACCTGTAAAGATTTCTTCCCAGTGACCCCAACAACTGTCATGAGCTTTAGGATATTGTCCAAAGCCCAGTCCTGTTCTGCACACATGTAATCCCTGTGCTTTGAAGGCTGACGCAAGAGAATTGAGAGTCTGAGGCCAGCCTGGGTTACACATATGGGATTTGTCTTAATTCATGCCCACTGAAAACAGCTATCCATCCCTGATCAGAAGGAAATCCAGTCATTACAAACTGGCTATTTTTCCCAATGTTGTTCTCTTGAAACTTGTATTTGTTAGATTTGAGCTCCCAGGGCATTCCTCTGTGTCAACTATGTGTGCATTGTATGTTTGTTTTTATTGTTTGCATTAGAAATCTCCCGCTGTGAAGGTTACTCATTTTAAAGGCTGCATGGGAGAGGCCTTCTTGAATGGCAAATCAATTGGCCTGTGGAATTATATTGAAAGAGAGGGGAGATGCAATGGCTGCTTTGGAAGGTAACGTAACCTTGGGTTTTAATACCTTATTCTGTTAACATCTGAGAACTCCTCAATGAGTGGACATGCCCATCAAAGATGGGTCGAGTTTATGGTATTATGCATCCTACTGTGAAGGATGTGTTATAGATTATTTTCTATAATAAGGGCATGAGTGTTACTTTTCATCTTTAGAAGAAAGTATTCTTTTTACTTGCTTGAAATACACAGTCTGATCATAGATCATAAAATCTAGAAACCTCAGATACCTCAAACAACTTTCTGTTTTGAAGATCCACAGTTAAGTCCTGGATAAAACACTGTATACATTTTGATTCTGAAAAATCCCTCCAAGAATGAGAGAGAGAGAGAGAGAGAGAAAGGGAATGTGTAGTCAATTCTAACCAAATCCTGTAAAACTGGAAATAAAGTGCATTTGGAAGTGGAGATTCATCTTTTTTGCACATATTCATATACTAGAAGAAATTTAATAACATAATCTCACTGAGCTCAGCTCCCCCTCGTTGTAACAGAATGACTGCTTCCCCTAAAGTGTGGAAGACCTGTCATGTCCTGGCACTTCAATAATTAAGACACTCGATTGCCTTTTACCTTTGGTGGAATGTGATAATTGATATGACTTGTATGGAAAGGCCGTTCTGTGTAAATAGATACTGCAGTTCCCTGCAAGTCCTGACAGGGTGAGTTGGAAGCAGCTGGTGTTACAGTTAGAAACTTCTGGTCAGGTTTTCATGTTTTCACTTCGGGTCTGCTTTCTCACATAGCTCAGCTGGGAATTTGTAGTTGAAAACTCCTTATTTATGACTTTTCCCTCTTGCCACTGACTTTTTAAGGGGAATGTAATGTAAAATTAACAACTGCCCCTAGACTGAACAGCACCCACAGCCCAAAGACTCATTCTTCAAGTTCATCTTGAGGAATACAATGAGTTTATTGAGGGTTATTTTGGGAGCTGTGAATGGCAGTTGCGTTTACTTGAGACCATCAACCTCCCCCACATCTCCAAGCTCCAGTTTTATATGGCTCTAGGTCTACAGAAGAATTGTCAAGAACCTGGGTTCAGAGCTTCCTGGTGTTAAGGCAGTGCTGGTAACTACAGGCTCAGACACATGAGGCACAGACAGAGCCAGACTGGAGGAAAGCCATGTGCTTATGCGCTCTCAGTCCTCATCCTCTTCCTGTGAGGGATTCCTCAAGACTCTGGCAGACACTGTCTGACTGCGGGAAGGATAGCTTGTTTTGCTGCAGTGTGGCATACAGGATAGCTAAATGGCAGCTTGCTGCAAGATGGAGTTACTCTGGCTAGGATTTGGAAGATTAGTCTGACCATATCTTCTGTTAGTTTACTTAAAAAGTTATGAATAGAAGCCGGGCGTGGTGGCACACACCTTTAATCCCAGCACTTGGGAGGCGGAGGCAGGTGGATCCTTGTGAGTTCGAGGCCAGCCTGGTCTACATAGTGAGCTCAAGGAGAGCTAGGGCTACAGGGAGACCCTGTCTCAAAAAGACCAAAATTTAAAAAAAGTTAGGAATAGAATCCTGGTCACTGCAACCTTAGACTAAAAAGAACACAGGATTTGGAGTATAAATGCCTCGGACTTCTGGCCCAGGTCATCTACCAAATTTCTCTTTGTCCAGGCTCTCCAAACCGCGCTTTTTAACTATGCTGTGCACCAGCAGTGAAGTCTTCCCAGTAATTTAGTAAGCCTTGCATGAAAAGAGCCCAGCGCTGGGCTCTGGCTCTCCACTTCAGCCAGTTCAATGACCAGGGCTGGCTCTTCTCCTTTTCTGGCATCTGGAAGTCCATTCTCCATGTAGACTCTGGCTTTGTGCCCCACGACAACTGCCCTCCCACCAGAGTTCCACCTCTGACCTTGGAGCAAAGGCTGAGGAGGAGCGCTCAGGAGACCTCTGTCCTCTGCATTAGTTCAGGGCCTGGCTTTACTTCTGCAGTCTGGCCACCAGCTGGCTATAGGACTGCATGGACTAATGGACTCAGACAACCTAGGAGTTTGTAGACTCTGGCTTTGTGCCCCACGACAACTGCCCTCCCACCAGAGTTCCACCTCTGACCTTGGAGCAAAGGCTGAGGAGGAGCGCTCAGGAGACCTCTGTCCTCTGCATTAGTTCAGGGCCTGGCTTTACTTCTGCAGTCTGGCCACCAGCTGGCTATAGGACTGCATGGACTAATGGACTCAGACAACCTAGGAGTTACATTGAACAAATCTGGCCATTCTTTTTTTTCTTCTTCTTTTCTTCTTTTTTTTTTTTTTTTTTTTTTTTTTTTTTCTTTTTTTTTTTTTTTTTTTTTTTTCTTTTTTCTTTTTTTTTTTTTTTTGAGACAGAGTCCCAGTACACAATTCTGGCTGGCTTGGATCTCACTATGTAGATAGTGCGGACCTTAAACTCAGAGATCCACCTCCCTCTGCCTCCCAAGTGCTGAGATTAGGATGTGTGTTACCATGCCTGGCGATCTGCTGGCCATTTTTATACAGTATTGATCAACACATTGACCAAGGCATCTTCCTAAGAGCTTTTCGTGTGTCATGTCATGTGTATTCCTTTGTACCATCATATCCATCAATGTTTCAGATTTCAAATTTGGGATTATGGGTGTTCAGTCTGTCCTAGACTTTGCACTTTTTACCAAATGATGGGAATAAAGTTCTACCTGATTTGGGCCCGGACAGCTCAGTAAACGTATCCTTTGCTCCCTCTGCCCCACTGAGAGTAGATAATATTTCATGTCTTCTGCTTTACAGCTCCCAAAATGAAGACGCTTCTTTCCACTTCGACGGAAGTGGATACTCTGTTGTGGAGAAGACACTCCGGGCCACTGTGACTCAGATAATAATGCTCTTCAGCACCTTCTCACCCAATGGGCTTCTTCTTTACCTGGCTTCAAATGGCACCGTAAGAATCTTTACTGGGCACTGAGCCCCCTGTGTTTGTATATTTCTATGGCTTTGATATTACTTAGGTTTGTTGTATGACTTTTCCTGGGGAAATGTGAATTAATGTCCATTCACTCCAGAAAGGGCACCAGCAAACTAAAGAATCAATTCCCACCCACACTTAGCTCAGTGAGCCAGTAAGTATATTGGGTTTCCTTACAGAAGCGCAGGTGAGTTGGACATGGTGCCTCACACCTTTAATCCCAGCACTCAGGAGGCAGAGGCAGGTGGATCTCTGAGATCAAGGCCAGCCAGGTCTATATATCGAATTTCAGGCCAACTGGGGCTATAGACCCCCACACACACAAATTAATTAATTAATTAATCAATTAATTAAAAAAACAACACTGGTAAGAAGTTAATTATGCGAGACTGGAGACTTGGTCACCTAAGACAGTTCCAGCATTGAAAGGTCCCCCCCTCAAGCATGGGTAATGGGTTCCCAATACTGCATGACTTGAGTCCCCCTTCAGCTAGTCTTCCACTTCCTGTGTGTCCTAGAACCTCCCAAGACCACATGCATCCTAGTACAGGTGGCTGTGAGGCACAGAAGGGAGTGAGGGGCTACAGTCTCAGATGAGGGTCACCTCCATGTCCTGTGAAGGAACATCAGCAAGCTTGATTTTGCATGGTTTCAAAGGGGTAGTAATAGCCGCTAGTGTTACTAATTTTGCTAATGTTACTAATTTTACTGTTACTAGGATTTGCTAATGTTAGCCTTAGCCTTTAACGGCTGTGCTATCCCTCCAGCCCTGTGGGATTTGCTGATGTAATACATGCATATTTATGTTATACCATTCCCATGAGCACACATTAATGTAATATATGTGTGTGCCATACAGTTTTCCCATTTTAAATTATTTATTAATACAGATTCATGAAGAACCTTTGGAAATACCAAAGAGCACTGAGTAGAAATGCACCTTCCAGTCAGTTCTGACATCAGTTAAGCACTTGTTAGAAATTCTAGTTGAAATAATGTCTTATTCTTGTCAGGGTGAGCTCAGTAGAATTGTTTGACTAGGAATGCTCCCCTTTAAACCTTGTGTGCTGAGTGCTTCCTGTCTCTCAGTGTTCAAATTTCAGTTTTGGAACTGGCACATTTGTTAGTTTACATTTTAACAAAATGCAGAGTTTGTTTCTCTTATTAAAATCTGGATTGTGGTAACATGGATGGCAGATCATTTACCACCTGGTAGTGTTCTAGAAAGCCACTGGGGACACTTTTCTTTTTATGTAACAGGCTCCAGTTATGAGTCCAGACATAGTTTCCCCAGTTTGACTTTAAAAGGTTACTCCATCCCTAACTTTATGGAAAAGGACGTCTTGGAATAAAGATGTATCCTTTGGTCTCTTCCTTACAGAAAGATTTTTTGTCTATGGAGCTGGTCCAGGGCAGGGTTAAGGTTATGGTTGACCTGGGTTCAGGACCACTCACTCTGATGACAGACAGAAGGTATAACAATGGAACCTGGTACAAAATCGCCTTCCAGCGAAACCGAAAGCAAGGTAGGTGCAAGGAATGTACTCCCGGGATGCTGGTTGCCCTCTAAGGCAAATAACACTACCAAGTCCGCAGTCTTTGTTCTATGTTAGCTTCCTGGTGGATCTTGATGATAGTGGAGTCCATCACTTAACCATTCACCACTTAGAAATGGCTATGTTCCTTAGTGATAGTCTAAGTGCCACCATTGGCTTGAAATGGCAGGGAATATTATAATTCTGTTTGTGGTCTCATTATAGCTCATTAAATACCAAATTGGAAACAAGAATCAACCCCTTTCTACTTTCCACATACCTACTGTTATCATCAGAGATGTGTATTCTGGATCTGTTGATTTTTGTGGAGAGTATTTCTCTCTAGTCCTTTAATAATGCGGAGCAGTACTGGTCAAAGTTGCAGAATTCACAAGAATGCCTTCGTAAGTGAATTCTGCTGGCAGAAGTTTGCATTTACTTGGACAGGGAAGGTGATTTTATCTCTTCCTTTCCGTGTCCTTCTAGGAGTCCTGTCTGTCATTGATGCCTATGACACCAGTGACAAGGAGACCAAGCAAGGAGAAACCCCAGGAGCCTCTTCTGACCTCAACCGGCTAGAGAAAGATCTGATTTATGTGGGTGGATTACCTCGCTCAAGAGTTGTAAGGTATGATATGAAAGTGTAGAATTCTCAGGTCTCTGATGACCAAACATACAAGTGGTTCTTTGTTGTTCCCTACAGGAAAGGGGTCAGCAGCAGAAGCTATGTGGGCTGTATCAAGAACCTGGAAATATCCAGATCCACCTTTGATTTGCTTAGAAATTCCTATGGAGTGAGAAAAGGCTGTGTGCTAGAGGTGGGAAGTGTTTTCCTGAATATTGGGATAAATTTCTCTAGAAGCCCAGTGTTTATACACATAGCAAAGGGACAAGATCTCAACCAGTAGATGGGAAGAATGTGGGGGAGAATGTGAAGGAGACGGGAAGTACCACCGTGCACCTACCCCTCCCCGGCAGATGGCCCTCACTCTGTTCTCCCCTCTGTCACCAGCCCATCCGGAGTGTGAGCTTCCTGAGAGGTGGCTACATCGAGGTGACACCCAAGTCTTTATTGCCGGAGTCAGAACTTCTGGCCACATTCATTACCACCAACAGCAGTGGCATCATCCTGGCTGCTTTGGGCAAGGATGTGGAGAAACAGGGTCTGTCTCAGGCATACATGGTGAGTAGCTATGACCCTCAAGAAAGAAATGACTTCCAGAAAATTTCTGACTCATGCAGGTTTTCTGTAGCTGTTTACCCAGGCAGTTACATATGTACTTTTTACAAAGACTGACTTATTTTTATCTTACATTTATAAAAGTTTTGCCTGCATGTATGTTTGTGCACCCGTGAATGCAATGGCCACGGAGGCCAGAAGAGGACGTCAGATCCCCTGGAACTGGCGTTACAGATGGTTGTTAGCTGCCATGTGCGTGCTGGAAACTGAACCCAGGTCCTCTGCAAGAGCAGCCAGTGCTCTCAACTGCCAAGCCAGCTCTCCAACCCATAGATGTGCCCTTCTAATGAGTAAAATCTGTTACACTGCTGAAAGTTATTCCAAACACTGATTTCCTGTGTTGCATAATCTATCTTCTGTATCTAGCAATGGGGAAAAAGCCATTTGCTGTCCACCTCTACCTAAGCACCTCCCACTGGAACATCCCGTTTCCTTCCATGAGATTCACTTGTTCCTTTTTATTCTAGGGCTAAAACAGCTTTTCTTACATTCTTTGTGGAATTTTTTTTTTTCTTTTCTTTCTTTTTTTTTTAGAGACAGGGTCTCCCTGTAGCCCCAGCTGTCCTGGAATTCACTATGTAGACCAGGCTGGTCTTGAACTCACAGAGATCCACCTGCCTCTGCCTCCCAAGCGCTGGGATTAAAGGCGTGCGCCACCACACCCAGCTGGGATTTTCTTTATTATAAATGTAAAAGACTGTGGCCTGTGGTAGGCCCAGTGGCCCTGCAATGGGAGAAGACAGAAAGGATGACAATTTTCCATAGTTTCATTTCACACAAGAGACAGAAAGGATGAAGACAGAAAGGATGACAATTTTTTCGTAGTTTCATTTCACTCAAGAGAGTTTTACCCTATTCTCTGTTCAAATCTGTGTTATAACTGGATTACATTAGAGTATTCTCCTAATGAAACAAAACCTGTGCACATACAACTTACAGAATGGTTCTGCTGCTCAAGACGCTCTGCAGACATTGCTGTGTGACTATCATAACTCACACTTCAGGGTGGATACTGCTGAGTAAAACATAGTCTCAGAGAGTCTGATTAACCTGCCCAGGATCACACAGCTGTTATGTGTCAGAGCCAAAATCAGGACACCAGTCTCTAGACCCCAAATACAGCATAGCTCACTTAACCAAGGCTGACCTTGACCTGAATTCCTTGTGTGGGCTTCATTAATCACTTTTTTAGTTGAAATGAAGTTTGTGTAAAATTAAACATTTTAAAGAGAACCATTCAATAACACTTAGTGCATTTGCAAAGTAATGGAGTCATATCCTTTATCTGGTTCTAAATGTTTCTGTCAACCAAATTAACAGCCTTTGCCCAGGCAGGAGTTACTTTTCATTCTCCCTTCCCCACCCCTGGAAACCAGAAAGCCGTTCTCTTTATCTGTGATGGATAAGTATTATGAATAGTTCACGTGTATTGCGTCATGATATTTATGGTCTTTACTGAGTGTGGCAAGCTTCGTCCACATTCTGGTTTGTAGCAAGACCCCATTCATTTTATTGCTCATGGTATTTCCCTGCATACGCACCACAGTTTATCAGCTTGCTAAGGAAACTGAGTTATTTCTACTCTTTGACTGTTCATGTATAAATGTTTAAGTCCCCACCTTCCTTTCTTATGGGTCTATCTATACCTTCAAGTAGAATTTTCTGGTGATGTAGTAATTCTGTTTTACCTTTTGAGGACCTGCCAGATGCTTTTCTTCCACCCATCTTGATAGAGTTACTTGCAAATCAGAGTTTTCCCACCGAGCCTGCAAACCAGAATGGTATCGCTCTCTGTTAGCAAGGGCGTGGGGGAAACACATTTCAATTTTGCAGATGGCTTTAAAAAATGTTATACTTCTTTTCAATGTTACAAAAAAAATTTAAGAACTTTAAATATCTTTAGACCTTTCAAGCTCTTCATGCCATTTTTAGAAATATTGAAAGCAATTCCATAGGCAAAAAGAAAATCAAATTAAATGGTCACAGTAAGATACTAAAAAAAATTTTAAGTTTTTAAAAATTTCCTTGATGAAAAAATTATTTATGTCAGACATGGTGGCCCACGCTCATTAGGAAAGCAGAGACAGGCAGATCTCTGTGAGTTCGTGTCCAGCCTAGTCTACATAAGTGAGTTCCAAGTCAACCAGGAGCTACTTAGTGAGACCTCGTCTCAAAAAGAAATTTTGTCTACTTTTTGGTTTATCACACATCAGTAAATAGTAAGTATGAGGCTTTGCAGAAATGGAAATCTTTGACACAATTAGTGACATGATTAGCTCAGCATAGTGTAAATTGTAGGAACACAGATTAGAAAGCAATATACCAGATCTAAAGTAGTCATAACCGATGGTGAAACTCATACCTTGCATTAATATGCCTATGTTATCTATGTAAGATGACACTGTTAAGAACCCTTTAATGATGTGCTTTGTTGGGGACACCACATCCTTCTCAGCCCTTCTTTGCCATCATGCTGATCGAAGGCCACATTGAAGTGCATGTCAACTCTGGGGACGGGACCAGCCTGAGGAAGGCTCTCCTGCATGCTCCCACCGCCTCATATAGTGATGGACAAGAGCATTCCATCTCCTTGATTAGGAACCAGAGGTATGTAGCTCGAAAGCTTGTCAGAGGTAGGGTGACCTTGAACAGGCTCTCTACCAGGAGCCTCGTGGCTTATTCAATAAGGTTAAATGACTGGGATAGTTGGTGTGCCATCACTAACATTCATAGTTCCCATTGTTCCAAAGTAATTCTAGGAACTTGACAAAATTTTTTCGTGGGAGTCAGTTCATCTTTGTAGCAATATATTTGTGGGGTTTTTGTAATTGAGGACCTTAACCTTGTCCTTTACTTGAGTCCAATCTAAACTGTTTATGAAGTGGATTAATTCAGTTGCACCAGTATGCTAGTATCAGTGCATAGTGTTGGATATCAACAGTAAATATTATTATGTCAGCATCCTAGATATGTCCCTCTGAAACTAGACCACCTGTTTTAAAGACACTGGACATTTTCATGGTAGGTAAAGAGGTGTATTATTAATACATACATATTTGCCTCTAAAAAACAATCAAACTCAATGATTTGTAATAAAATTTCAAATGCATGTTTTAAAAATTTTATTATTTTTATTTGATGTGTATGAGTATGGCCTGCATATATGTAAGTGCACCTGTGTCATGCAGTACCCATGGAGGACAGAAGAGGGTGTCAGATCCCCTGGGACTGGAATTATAGGCAGTTGTTAGCTGCCATGTGAATGCTTGGAATTGAACCCGGGTCCTCTACAAGAGCAGTCAGTATCTCTCCAGTCCCTTAACTGCGGGTTTTAATTTTCAAGATTCACATGCAATGTCATGTTAAAATTTATCTTTAGGGAAATTTATGATTTTAAAAGAACTTGCTAGAATTGTATGTTAAAATGGCGGTATGGTCTCATTGTTTGTGAAAGGTTTATTTTCTCCTTTGATCTGTTAGAGTTATCACTGTGCAAGTAGATGAGAGCAATCCTGTAGAAATGAAGTTGGGCCCATTAGCAGAAAGAAGGACCATCGACATATCCAACCTTTTCATAGGAGGACTTCCCGAGAACACAGGGACACCGATGCTCAAGATGAAGACATCATTCCACGGCTGTATCAGAGATTTGGTCTTCAACATGGAGTGAGTGTCGCTGGCTCTCAGCCTGTTCCTGCACCTTCTGATTTTTATTGACAAGTGCTAGCACTAATCTGCCCTCTAACTTTTTGGTTGGAGATTGCCTTAAGTTCTTCAGACTTTTCTCTAACACTGGCCTCCTTGTCATTTAAGCCTCTTCAAGTAGATCCTATAGGGTTAGTGTGGTGGACTGATCTGACCATCATACTTTGTTTCTTAAAAATCATTGATCACTAGCCACATGAGTTTATCAATAAATAAATAGCTGAGGTGAAAATAGACTTCAGACAAGCACTTAAAGGGCACTGAGATTTTGATACAAGTGTTTTGCTGTACTGAGGCATGCATTTTCTCTGTGTGTGCGTGCACACATGACCCAAGTTCCCCCTTCAAGGAACCTAACTGGATTGCTGGCAGCTTCATATCAATAATGACTTTCCCTAAAGCAAGTACTGTATAACTAAAAACTTGACATCTCCATTCTCTGTGAGGAAGCCTATCATTATGTGTCCGAGGGCTGTTTATTCTTCTTCCCTCAAGCTCCATCCACCTTGGGCTGAAGGTGAGAAGCTATGCTTCAACCTGCAGGCCAGGGTCTGCCTACAGACATGCACTCAGTATCAAGAGACACTGGCTCCATCCTGGTTGGGCTGTTGGCCTGTTTGTGACCTTGAGCAAGGACATGAGCTTTTCGTAGTCACAGTGTCCTCTGTTAAGCTTCCTCCTAGGAGTCCCTGAACATGACAAGAATAAGGTATATAGTGTGGGTTCCAACACCATGTCAGAGCCTTGGGTCAGTTATTTGACCAGTCATTATATTCATTCACTAGTTAGCTGTTTGTCCATTCCTTCATAGATTAGGCACCTTCGTGCTCTGTAAAGCCATGAAGCTCTGGACTCTATAACAAGACAGCTCTGTATGGTTAGAGTTGTGTCCTGGGGTGATGCCAGTGGGCTCCATGTAAGCACAGGACACACTATTAGAGCTGCAGAGTAGACGGACAGGTGACAGTCACAATTTACAACAGGGAATCTGGGTTTAATGGATACCATGTGCAGTGCTGTCCAGGAACCAGACACTTTACCTAGAGAACCCAATCCAGCCTGCAAGAGGCGGCAGCTTTGAGCCTGCTCTGAGCTCAGCAATGTCCAGGTCACCAGCATGGGCCTGAGCTAGGGGTGAGTTGTTATTTCGAGCAGAACCAATCAGGAATATGGAGTGTTCCATGTGACTCAGGCATTGTGAAAGACGATCATGCTGGTTACCCTGAGAGAATAGGTCAGTAGTTTGAAATGGGTTTAGTTATTCAGTCATTGAATGATTTGGGCTCCTATGTTGGTTTATGATGTTTCCACTTTGAAATGCTTCCTTGTCTGTAGACTTTTGGACTTCACCCATGCAATTGGCTATGAACGAATAGAACTGGACTCCTGCTTGCTTGCAGAAGAGCCAAAGCCTGGAGAGCACAGGGAACTCCCATCAGAGCCCCCGGCGCTAGCACGTCTTGTAAGCATGACTTCATTTAATGGCATCCACCGGGTCTGGTCAGGAAGAAAGTCACATGTCAGTGGGAGTGGACATGGGACCCAGGGAAATAGGTTCTGGGAGAGCTGGAACTGAAGCCAGAAAGCAATGGGAAGGGACAGTGTCACAAGTACCCAGGAGCCAGGGCAACATGAGAGAGGGATGGAGAGCAGAGAGAGTGGGAACTGAGTCCCAGGGGAGCCACAGGAAGCTAGGGGGAGGGGCAAGTACCCCAGTTGTGCCCTTTCCCTTCTCTCCAGAACCCTAGCTGCCCCCTCTCTCTGGTCTCCAGTCCCCCAGCTGTGCCCTCTCTTTAGCCTCCAGTCCACTAGCTGTCCCGTCTCTCTGGCCTACAGGCTCCCAGCTGTGCTGTCTCCCTGCCCTCAATTCCCCCAGATGGGCCTTGCAGTGGTAGAATATCTGGGAGCCATTTTTCTGTGGAGCCTGGGAACATGGCTCACGAGATCTCCCTACCACCACCACCCCCACGGGGACAAAGTGGAGATGCTTCTCTGAGCCAACATGTAGGCAACACAGCTCAGCATTTTCAGGTGCAGGGAAGACACTCAGCACCTGAATAGGTTGACATTCCTCAAGCTTTTTGGCAGTTTCCATAATGCCTCCTTAGCTCTTCAGATTTAGGTGGGAAACATGAAAATCAGCACTTAGCATGAGTCACTGTATATACTCATCAATGCTTAAGAAGAGAGATTTCATTCACTTAGTAAAATCTGGTCATTGCTCTTTTTCATTTTGTTCTTTTCTGATTTCTCTATCTCCTTGTTCAGCAGCGTGCACTTTAATAATTTATAGGCTGGTGTGGTTACCTAAGAGCAGTACCTTCTAAGCAAGCCCCGAGAGTTCCAGACAGTTGTGTCTTCCCACTTGAAGCCACAAAACTGAGTCTGGAACTCACTTGATATGAGGTTCTGTGTGATACACAGGTGGGAGCAGTCAACACTGCCCAGGGCCCTACCCTATGCTCCCCACGTCTGACTCTGGGTCTAGGAGCCCTTCCAGCCCGGCTCCCCTCATGCCATCCTGCTCCCATCCATGTGAACTTAGAGATGACAAAGTCAAGGCCCTGTGAGGCCTGAAGGGCACTTTGATCTCTCAGTGGTGTCTGTGCTGTGGTTGCTCCCTGACCATAGGCCTCCTTGGGGCCATTCCCAGAGCCTTGGAGGGACAGCAGGGCCTTTGCCCTTTAGGTCTGATGAAGGTTCATGGAGAATTCTAGTATCCGTCTGAAGGAAAGTGAACTTGAGCGATGAAGGTAAAAGATGGAAGCTCGAATTTCTGTCTCAGGAGAAAGGGGGCTGGGGTTGCATAGTTTAAAGCAAAGCTCCAGGTGAGCCAAAGCACACTGGTGGCGGCAGCTGGTCTTGCACAGTGGCTTCTAGACATTTTCTTTATGGAAGGACATGCATGTGTCAGTGGGACCCTGGCTGCAGTGGCTGAGGGTCTCTGTGCACTTCTTTCAGGAACAGTGTGCAGTGGACCCAACTCCAGGATATGTTCCCAGTGCTCACCAGTTTGGCCTCTCACAAAGTAGCCACTTAGTGTTGCCTTTTAATCAGTCTGCCGTCAGAAAGAGGTAAGCATTGACTTGTCCCTCTGAGGCCTTCATTGCCGGATGATTAGGCAAATGTATTATGTCTTCTGAGAGTGCCTCATGTGGATGCAAATTTGCCCACAGCCAAGGGGCGCAGCTCCCACACGGACCCCAGAAGAGACTGCCCTTGTCAGCTATAATTAGGCCCTACATGCTAACATACCCTCAGTTGTCCTTAAGCAGATAAAGGCTTGCCCATTCAGCAATACGGGCAATTCAGCTTCCTTTCTTCATTTCAGAGCTCAACTGCAATGTCTTCTTTTCAGTTGTCCACCCGACTACTAATACAGCCACCGGCGGCCCCTCTATGGAGGATTCACTCTCCAACAGTCTTCCTGCTTTGGTTTCATGGAAGAAGGACTTCTTCCCCACTTACTGTTATCCTAGAATAGTTCCCAGCAGTCTGTAGCCATCCGTGCAGTGAATGCAGGCCTAAGTGAAGGAGCCCATGTCTCTTCAGAAGTGTATTCATGCTGAAGCAGTGATGGGGTTCTCTCTTGGAGGTGACTTTAAACACTGGAAGCTAAGCTTCCTGATTCCTGGTGTTAAGTTCCTGTTCTACCCCCAGGCTCTTGGTTCAGCTGAGCATCAGAACTTTTGCCTCCAGTGGCCTCATTTACCACATGGCTCACCAGAACCAGATGGATTATGCCACGCTCCAGCTCCATGAAGGCCGCCTGCACTTCATGTTTGACCTTGGCAAAGGCCGAACCAAGGTCTCTCACCCCATGCTGTTCAGTGATGGCAAGTGGCACACGGTAAGTCTTCAGGAGGCCTGTGGTCACCTGTCCAAACTTTGCTCCCCTGATCCTCCTACTGACTCCATTTTCCTGAAGGGCATCTATGCTTTTGAGCCCTAGCTGGCCTTGTATCTGGCATTCCCTTACTCCTCCCTGAGAATACAAGGTGCTGGGAAGTGGGGCCCATTGCTGCGTCCTGAAATAGCTCCAGGTGCTTGCTCAGATACCCAATAATTAACACACAGCAACTGCTAACATAATGGATGGAAGATTCCAGAAGTGTTTCTGATTTGGCAAGAAGCAGTAAAGCCCACTTGGCATGAAAGTACTGAGCCACCCATCCTGGCATCAGCTTCCTAGAAACCAGGGCTGAAGCTCTGCTGTGTCTTCCTGCCCTCCACCAGGCTCAGCACCAACTATGCCACAGCAGAGCTATCCTGCTGGGTTTTGTTTAGGCTCTTAGAGCTAACTCTAAAGAACATGCCTGGCAAGCACACATCTGTTAAAGTTTTCTCAAGTCACAAATTCTGGATGTTTTCATCTTGCTGTAGGTCAAGACGGAGTACGTTAAGAGAAAGGGCTTCATGACTGTTGATGGCCAAGAGTCCCCTGTAGTGACGGTGGTGGGAAATGGAACCACACTGGACGTGGAAGGGAAGCTGTACCTTGGAGGTCTTCCTGTCCAGTACAGGGCCAGGAACATTGGGAATGTAAGCGGTATCCTCTGCACAGGGCCCGTGTTACCTTGCTGTGGTTGTGTTGTGTTTAAGCATTCTCCACATGCTTATGTTTAAATGATTTTGTATGAACCTGGGGCTACCAAAAGGTACAGGCCTTTCAAAGCATGTTCATGGATCATATGTTAGAGGTTTTCCTTAAAGCCTTCCAGCTTTTCCAGTCTTCTGGTTAATGAACTTTTCCATTTCCCAGAACAATTCTGGAAAAGTCTAGTACATTTGTATTTGTACATTAATAAGAGAAACCTTCTGGATTTGCACAGTGTTTCAGTAAAACAATCGGAACACTTCTGTGTTATTAGCAAAGAACTCAAATGAGAGCACTAAAACATTCACATGAAGGATTGCAACAATTAAATTGTAAAAACCAGTATGGTATTGCAATGTGTGATGTTGATGCAAATCTAATTAAGGTGCAGGAAAAATGTGTCACTCTCTTGTCATAATCACCACCTGCTCTCTCACATCACCTGGTTTAGATCACCCACAGCATCCCTGCCTGCATTGGAGAAGTGACAGTTAATGGCAAACAGCTAAACAAGGACAGCCCGATGTCTGCCTTTGCTGTGGATAAGTGCTATGCAGTAGCCCAGGAAGGAACTTTCTTTGAAGGAAGTGGATATGCAGCTCTTGGTATGTGCCATCAGCAGTCTTGGAAGAAGTCCTGGGGTTTGGCGTGTACTCTTAAGATGATGTGGATTTAGAGGTGACAGGATAGGACCCAGGAAAGGCTGTCTAAAGTTGTACTTATTTAGTTCAGTGTCCTGGTCTGTTCTTAAGTTTTTGCCTGTTCATGTAAAAGTCTGCTCAGGTCATATGCTCTCCAGGTGGCCTAATGGAGGCTTTCACAGGACTGGAGTCCAACAAGGGCAGTCTCTGAGACTCACTTGCACTTTCCCCAAAGTCTATGTAGGGCAAACTACCTGTCCAAGTTAATAAAACCTTTGAATTGAAAACAGAAATGTGACCAGGCACAGAGGTATACACACCTGTAATGCCAGGGCTCCAGAGGATTATAAATAGACTAACCTGACAGTAAGACTGCATCTTAAAACAACAAAAGCAGTATTTCCTTAGAGATAAGAATGCTAAGGACTTGCCGGGGGCATGGTGGCACATGTCTTTAAAACCAGCACTTGAGAGGCAGAGGCAGGCAGATCTCTGTGAGTTCGAGGCCAGCCTGGTCTACATAGTGAGCTCCAGGACAGCTAGGGCTACAGGAAAACTCTGTCTCAAAAATGCCAAAAAAATAAATAAATAAATAAATAAAATAAACAAAAAGAATGCTTAGCCTAGAAGGGAGGGGACTCACTGGTAGGTATAGAGCTACATCCAGAGCAGAACTGGGACCCAGTCTTGAACTTAGCCAGAAGCCTGAATGCTTAGATGCTTAGCCTGCCCAGACAATCCAATCTGTGGATTCTCACTGTGACCTAATATTGTCCTTATTTTTTTATTTTTGTTTTGTTTTGTTTTGCTTTCAGTCAAGGAAGGCTACAGAGTCCGATCAGATTTAAACATCACACTGGAATTTCGTACCTCCGCTAAGAATGGCATCCTCCTGGGGATCAGTAGTGCCAAAGTGGACGCCATTGGCCTAGAAATTGTAGATGGCAAGGTAGGTGCTCCACCTCCGTGGACCTCCCTCCCCACAGGCCAGAGGCAGAGCAGGAAAGAATTGATAGACATGCTTAGATACACATTTCTCATTATCTGCTTTATTAATGGAGACAACATAAGTTTCCATTACTATTTTTTAAATTAGATAGCCCTAAAAATATTTTCAAAGTAATTTTTAAAAAATATTTTATTTATTATTTTTATTTTATGTATATGGGCATATTGTCTGCCTGTATATAAGTGCACCTGTGTCGTAGGATGCCCGTTGAGATCAGAAGAGGGCGTTGGATCCCCTGGACCTGGAGTTAGGATGGTTGTTAGCCACCATGTGGGTGCTGGGAATCAAACCCAGGTCCTCTGCAAGGGCAGCCAGTGCTCTTAACCACTGAGCCATCTCTCCAGCCCCTCAAAGTAATTTTTTATATATTGAAATTAACCATATATAAAATTTCAGCTGTAATTCAGACATTTTTGTTTAAACGTTATCAGCAAGAAGATGTTGACTTCATGCTCTGTGTCTTCTAATATTTTAAAATCTTCACATACAAATCAGTACAGAGTCACACAAAGGTATATCCTCCCTCCAGGCTTCCTAGAGGACCACACTGAATCCACACTGTGGACACCCTCACAGAGCTTGTTTTGTGGTCTCAGTTATGTGGATGTGTATAGCTTGTGATACACAAATGGAACCATTACCTCCCTCAAGATCCACTGTAACTCTACTAGTATCACAAGACTCCTCCCAAGTTGCCCCTTCATAGCCACAGTATCACATAGCTCCTCCCTGCCCCTACCCACTTGGCAGGGTCTGTCTCCATCTCTCAACTATTCTTTCTCAAGTGGTAATATAATGAGTTTGTGCAGTAAGTTTCTCCTTGAGACTGGGATACTTACTTTGTGCACTCAGCCTTATTTCCTGACAGTGCATCCAGGCTACATCTAGCAACAGTTCATCACTTTATTGTAGAATGTTACTTCATGGGTCCAGTATACTGTGTTTTTGTTTTTGTTTTTTTTAGTAGTCAAATAGTTCATTTATTAACCCATTTGTAAAAGTTTTTAAAGTGACACAATGCTTCTCCTCCTTTTTTGTTTTTTTTTCTTGATTTTTTTAACAAGTTTTTTTATTTATTATTTTTACTTTTTTAAAAAAATTAATAACCACATGATTAGAAGAAGCATTTCATTACAGCATAACATATTCAATAACAATTTCCAGAGCAAAGATGCATCTCTTTCAAAATTGGCTGTACATTTTTAGGATCATAGTTGAATTAATATAGTTATACAATATTAAACTCAGTATAAACCCTATACGACATAAAATTGAATGAGGTTTGAGACAAAGTTCCCTATAGCCCAGGTCTACTGTCTATGTAGACCAGGCTGGCCTTGATCTCACAGAGATCTGCCTGCCTCTGCCTCTGTCTCTGAGTGCTGAGATTAAAGGCATGCACCACCACATGCAGCTTTACTTAAGTTTTGTTTAATGCCAAAACAAAAAGTGATTTTTTTTTTCCTATACCTTTTCTGCCCTGTTATGAGCCTGTCAAAGTCCCTCATGTTGGGAACAACATGAACTCGGTCCTTCCCAGTGCTTTCATCTCTTCTGCTATGTATCTAGGTCCTCAGGAGTTGCTCCTGTATTCACGCTCTCTCCTCACCCCTTTGGGGCCTTGTCTGCACAGGCAAGATGCAAGGAAGGGCATCTGGGCAACCCCTCTCTTTTCTCACATGTGGTTGCAGGTGAGGTCTGGCCTCCATGTGCTTGACTCTTGCCGTAAGTGGCCTGGGGTCTCAATGTTGCCAGAGTATGTGGCCCTCAGACCTTGGGAACCAGTCTTCCCAGGTGTCTTTCCTACTGCTGCTTCTTCAGCTGGAGCCACCATCCAGCTCCCACTGCTCACTGTATGAGAGAATTGGGAGTATCTGCTATGCCACACAAGGCCACTGAAGCCAGGGATGATGGCTATACTATTGGAATAAGATGCTGGAATTTTCCTCTGGGAAGCCAAGGAACATTGTGCCACTCCAGAATTCACAAGCTGAGCTCCTAACCATCAGCATCTCTCTGGTTGTGATTTTGTTTGGACGCCGAGGCAGTTAAGGGGTAGCAAGGTGGTTCATCAGGTAAAGGCACCTGATGCAAAGTCTGACAACCTGAATTCAATCCCTGGCACCCACAGGGAAGAAGGAGAGCAATGACACCTGCAAGCTGACATCTGACCTCCACGCTCTTACTGTACCGCACACACATGCACACACACTAAATAAACAAATGAATGTTAATAAATGTAAATAAAAGTGGTAATTAAGTTAAAATTAGGTCAGTAAGTTGGGTTCTGATCTAATATGTGTCCTCATGAAAAGGAGGCATCAGAACACACACACAGAGAAGGGAGAGGGATACTGGGAGTTAGAACTTTAGCATGTGAATTTTGGGATGACACCAAACATGATGTTCTTCAGCCCAGAACATCTCTATCCTTTGCAAAGCTCTAGTTTTTTGTTGTTGTTCCACCCAGTGTTGTAGAGCATCAATGGTTTGTCAGAAGAAAGTTTGCATATGTTCCTGTGTAAGTGCTGTCAACTCATAGCCTCAGTGAGCCTAGGAGTGCCCCAAAATGTCCCTGCGGTACCCTGAAAATGAGACAGAATGTAACCAGTTCACCTTTCAGAATTGTGGGGACTGGGATAGAGCCTGAGCCCTTTAGAAGTTTATTTTCCATCACCATTATTTGTTTCTAATGGTTGGTGCTCCTGGTTTGCAGGATGCTGTGAATTGATCCACTCAGAACATTGTACACATGAATTGTGTGCCATGGATCTTGGCCTTCTTGCTAAGATCAAGTGCAAATGGACAGTGTTCCTAAATGTACAAAAACTCACCAAGATACTTACATTGTTCAGGTCTTGTTTCACGTCAACAATGGTGCTGGTAGGATAACAGCCACATATGAACCGGCAGCCACCAGAATGCTGTGTGATGGGAAATGGCACACAGTCCAAGCCCACAAAAGCAAGCACCGCATTGTCCTGATTGTGGATGGGAATGCTGTTAGGGCTGAAAGTCCTCACACTCAGTCTACCTCTGCGGACACTAATGACCCCATTTATGTGGGTGGCTTTCCTGGTATGTATGAATACCTGTTCTGCTTATCCACGTGGAGGGCTCAACACTGGGGGAGGTCTGAACTCAAGGCAATATGGAATAGGGAGCCAGAGGGATACACAGTTTAATGGCAAGTCTCACCATTTATGAAAAGCTACTTCAAATACGATACCTAAACATTCTTGGGAAAATTAGCATAGCCTCCCGCTGACTGCTACAAGTAAGCCCATGGTCTTACAGTCTCCTTAGACCACTCCTAAGGCTGAGGATCTACATTGCAGGGAATAAACTCATGATTCATCCTCTTGTGTTAATTTTACATTAGAATTATGCATTTAAGATGCCCAAGGAATGTATTACAAATACTGAACATCTTTGTATGACTTTTTAAGTCGCAACTGTGCCTTAAAATGATTACATATCAAACATTTCTAAGAATGTTCCCTCTCACTAAAGCTGCATATTGGAGAAAATATTCTGATTTGATAGAGGACCCACTTGAGGTTATTTTTATCCCTAATGTACTTGTCTTCTCTTTTTTCTGGAACAGCCAGTGTCAAGCAGAACTGTCTGAGTGGCCGGACCTCGTTCCAGGGGTGTTTGAGGAAGCTCAGGCTGATCAAGGGCCCACTGGTGCAGTCCTTGGACTTGAGCAGAGCCTTTGACCTACAAGGAGTCTTCCCTCATTCCTGTCCTGGGCCTGAGCCCTGAACTTCTATCAGAATCCTCTGTTGGAATCATTGCTATTATATTGAGGAGAAACAGTTTGTAAACTCAGATGTCTTCCGTTCAGACTTCATTTCCAACTCAGGTTATATATTTCCAGAGAGAAATATGTTTATGTTAAACTAAAGCCACATGTACAACAGATACCTCTATTAAATAGTCTAAAATACCAACTGAATTTATTGTCTCTCATGGATATCTGTGAGCATTGAGCATCCATTATTTGATAGTGTTTTCTGGTTT